TCCGCCACTGCAGCATCCAGCGCTCTCTTCCGTTGCCGTGGCCACCGCGTTAAACCCCATTAAACCCTTCAGTAGCAAAATTACAATTATGAAGTAGCAATGAGAATAATTTTGTGGTTGGGGTCACCACCACATGAGGAACTGCATTAAAGGGTCGCAGCATTAGGAAGGTTGAGAACCACTGGTCTAAAGTGAACTTTACTCTGACAGCCTGAGGATCTGCAGATCCTGCAGGTTCCAGTCTTGATTGCCCATCACAACCATCCAGGAAGACTCATAAAAGAGAGTCATGGCCCTTCTCAGACCTAGGAAGCCTCAATCCCAGCAGGCAACACCCAGAATCTAAAAGCTTCCTGTGGATTCTGGGCCATGGTGAAAGCCACGTGGCCCCTGGAAAGATAGCTCAACCAGTAAAACACTGAAAAGCATGAGGACCTGAGTTCGAACCCCCAGCATCCACTCAAAAAGCCAGGTGTGGTGATATACATCTGTTATCTCAGTGCTGAGGGGAAAGGGAGGAGAAGGAGGCTCCCTGGAGGCTGGATGGCCAGCGGTCTAGCCAATCAGTAAGCACCAGTTTCAGTGAGAGACCCTATCTCAAAAAATAAGATGGAGGGAAATAGAAGAGGACATCCAGTGTTGGCCCCTGGCCTCCATGGGCATAGGTGCGGACACATACATACTACATACACACACACAGGCCATGTGGCAGTACATCAAGTAGACCTGACAACCACAGGTCTCTCTACAGGCCACATGTCCCCAGGACCCCAAACCATCTCCTAAGTGCAGGCATGAAAGAGCTGAATCAGAAAGAAATGGGGAAGAAACCCTGAGTGAGGCTGGTGACAAGAATATCTGTCACCTTACGTCAGAGGCCTGGTAGTGTCGTGGTGGTGGCTGAATCCTTCTGATCCCACATCAGTGACAGTGAATGCTCTGTGAATCAACAGGCTCACCAAGAAACTCACTCCTTGGAGGAAACCCAACAGTAGAGAGACGGCTTCGTATACACACATGTGACATGCTGTGCAGGGTCCAAGCCCACAGTAAAAGAATGGCCATTTCCTCAAGTGAGTTAGTGGCTATTTAAAAAGCTAAATGTGCAAACACTTGTAACATGGAAACTAACTGTAACATTAAGAAATAAAAATCACAGGTTATTTTCCATAAAAATTCACAATTATGTATACATAAAATTTGTACAATTTTGCATGCATAGGATAAAATAAAATCTTACCTAAAATTTATGAAAAACTACATTTCAAATTAGAATATAAAAAGTGTAGATGTCCATATCCTTTAATAAATTAGAAGGGATGGTGGGAGGTCAGATTCCTTCTAAAGACAAATGAATAAGACCCAGAGGGGCACAGAACCAGAAGGAGCAGAGCCCACAGGGAAAAGGAACCCAAGGGGAGACTAGACCCAGGGAGCAGGGACCCAAGGGAGCAGGGACTCAGGGGAGCAGGAATCCAGAGAAGTGGGGATCTAGAGGGAGCAGGCACTCAGAGGGGAAGGAATCTAGGGGAAGCAGGGACCCTGGGGAGCAGGGACCCAGACAGGCAGGGACCCAAGGGTAGCTGGGACCCATTGCAGGACACTTACAGTTGCTAAGCTGGGGTCATCTCCAGTAGAAGAGCCTGAATTCCTAGGGAGGTCTAAGAGGTTCAAAGGTCAATTTGAGCCACAGAAAATGAAGCCATAGCCTGTGTAGTGTACACTTAGGGGCACATTTTGGGACATCTGCATCTTAGAGGTGACAAAAAGTGCCTGATGAGCTGGAGGAAGAAAAAAAAAAGTCAGGAGGCAGATTGGAGAGATAATCAAAATTGGGGGCTATTAACATTACCAAGACAGAGGATTCTCTGCTCAAACAGTAACACAATCTACCTTGTCCCAGAAGGGTTTTAAAGGGACCAGAGTCTCATAACAACAAGATTAAAAAAGTCCAGTCTACAGTCCCAAATTGTACGGGGATACAAAGAATCAAGAAAACACACGATGCTGAAGAAGAAAGACAACCCTGCTCCCGCTGCTTATAAGACTAAGTCAGGAGCACCAAAAACTCAAGATGGATGCCAGGACCGTGCTTCAGGAGGTAACAACAAACCCTCCTGAAATGAATGGCGATGTCCCCATCACAGACCTGGGTGCTGTGGGATGGAATTGAAGGGAAATTTCAAAACAAAACAAACAAACAAACAAAAACCCAAGAATAGGAATGAAGTTTTCACATGGTGGGAAGTGTCGTCGCCCCCCCTCCCCCCCGCACGGTGTAGTGGCATGTAGCTATAATCTCAGTGTTGGGGAACAGGGACAGATGAATTTCTGGAATTCGCTGGACAACCAGCCTGGCCTAACCATCAAGCCCCGGGTCTTAGCAAGAGATCTCATCTCAAGTAAATAAATAAATAAACAAACAAGTGCATGATGACGGAGGACTGGCACTCTGGACTGAGCTCTGAATTGATATACATGGGCAGCTCCCACACACATGCACACACTAATAAAATAAGTAATTGAAAATAAAATGGGGCAAATGAAGCACACTTACAGGTAACGAATGTGGAATTTATCACCGGGAAACTGCATTTTAAAAAGTAACTATGTGAGGGGCTAGAGAGGTGGCTTCGTGGCCAAGAATTTGGACTGTGCAATCATGAGGACAAACCCTGGGTTTGAGTTCCAGCACCCACGTAACAAGCTGTATAAATTACAAATGTGTGTAACTCCAGCTCCCAGGGATCCAGTGCCGCCTTCTGCACTAGGTGTGCACCCGCACACACAGGTGCATACACTCATGCACCCACGCACATCCATGCACACATACATTAACATTTAATTAATTAAGGTATGCATCTACGATGTTGCGATGTAGTGGATAGCCGGTCCAGCTTTGACCTGGAAGTGCCACCCCGCCAATGAGGCTTCGGCAGCTGTCACACCTACAAGGCAGAGCCGAGAGAGGACCCCTGAAGACCCGAGATCCGGATGTGCCAGCCTCTCTTGGTTCCTGGATACTGGATGCTGGAGGTAGACTGAGCAGAGTTCTCCAGAGAACACCGCTGGACTGTGTTCCACCTTTCCCAGACCCTGTTACCTATCCCTTCACTTGTAAGTTACCCCACAAAATAAACCTCCCTTTTAACTATGTGGAGTTGCCTTAATATTTAAACCAATACCCACCCCTTGCCGTGCAGACAGCTGCTTCCTTTGCTGCTGAGGAGAATTCTGTGGGGCTGCTGTCTCTGTGATTTTCTTGGTGCATTCTCCTTGTGGTGAGCACTGGGATTCACTCTGGTCTGAGAGTCTTTAGTTCCTGGCCAGACCTCTTGCAGCCACACTGGTGTCTCCAGGTCATGAAGGGCACTCTCTAGGTATGAGGTATGTGGTACGATCATGGCTGAGGTCCTCCTGTGACTTCGATGCATGTTTATTATTTTCAGATTGGCCACAGCCTTCCGGTGGCTGCCACTGGTGAGTGGACCTCTTGTCCCCTAAACGTGGCCTTGCTCCTCTAGAGGCTTTAGTGGGCTGTGTTAGTACCTCACTTGGTTATGGTTTGCATTTCTCTCATAGGTATAATTTTATAAATAAACTGAAACCTTTTTTTTTTTTTTTTTTTTTTTTTTTACAAATACGAGGATGTTTTTAGAAGTCTAAATTATTTGGAGCCTTTTAACAAATGCATCGGACTCAATTTCATGAGATGCTTGCTCAAATCTCATGCCTTCTTTGTTTCGTTCGATCCTGCCTTTAGAACTCAGTGCCTGTGCATACTGGTCAGGGGCTCTACCACCAAGCTACATCTCAAGCCCAAATACTAGGTTTTACTGGTCTGCTGGGATATTTTTTTTACTGTTATTATTAGATTGTGCCATTTGGGTTTTGTGGCTGTTATTAGCTTATTTGCTTGAGATAGGGGTTCATGTATCAAAGACTGGCTTTAAACCTGAGATAGCCTTGAACTTCTGACCTTTCTGCCTCTATCCCCTGAACACTAGAGTAAGAGGTGTGCACCACCACACCCAGTTTACACAAAACTGGTAATCAAATCCAGAACTTGCAGGCTAGGCTGGCACTCTACAAACTGAGGTATGTCTCCAGTTCTGTTTGGTTTGTTTGTTTGTTTGTTTGTTTGTTTGTTTGTTTGTAATAGGATATGGTGGACAGGGTAATATGTCCTCTGCTGAAGATTTTTTGCCTGATGTCCAGAACCTGTAAAGCTTCCAGAGAGAAAGTTGGCTATGTGACTCCCCAAGACCTGTGAGGCATTTCTAAGCAGACTATCTAACTCCAGTCAGAAATGGAGACCCATTCCAGGTGACAGACAGCTGTAGGTCAGATTGATACACTGTTGCTGGCTTTAAAGCTGGACAAAGGAAGGACAGAAAAGGCAGTCAGGGTACCCTGGAAGCTGGAGGGGCTGGGAGCCAAGCTCCATGCCAGGCATCTGGAGGAAAGCACACCAGCGTCTTGACTTTGGCCAGCTGGACCTCTACAAGTCTTATTATCTTGGGAACTGTGGGTAATGGGTCCTGCTGTTTTAAGCCTAAATGTGTGGGTGTCGGTTGAAGCAGAGGTATGGGGCTGAACATGAGTGTGTAGAGGGATTCTATCCTTCTGGGCCCTTAATTCCTTCCTCTTTGTGCCTCATAAGCTGATGGTCTAGTTTCTTCCTCCTGCTCTCTTCCCACCTCTGCTCCCACCTCTCTCTTCCTCCTGCTCAGATCCCCTGAATCCTAGGGAGAAACTAGCCCTAGTCTATGAGGAGTACCTCTCCTTTTCCCCCAGAAACTCCCACTCACTTCTGTCAATTAGAATTGAGGTTCCGGAGATGAGATGTGCCCTGGGTGAGGCAGGCCCCTCTTCATCTTCCCCTCAGATACTGCTGGCTCTCTGTGGCCAGTGCTCCCCACACCCGCTATTCATGGGAAGCTGCTGGCTCACAGAGACATTTACACAGCAAGCAGAAGGGGTCTTGCATGCTCCCAACCTCTTATGAACATTTCCTATATCCCAGGTGACCTTTTGATGGACATGTAAATTGCTGTGAGTGATCTGTAAGGGAACACGGGGCTGGGATGGGGACAGGTCACTTATGGTAGTGACAGAGCTGAGGGTCAGAGGCAGATGGCCCCAGGGAAGCAGGCATTGGTCTGCATTTATAAATGGACTTTCCAACTCTTCCTGACTGTCAAGGTCATAGACAGCTCTGCTGGATGATACAGATGTGGCGAAAGACTAAAAAGTGACACAGAAAACCCACAGACACATGTCTGTCAGAGAACAAGCAGCTTTGGGAAATGCAATTTTTCCTTTGGAATGAAAATGTAAGTATGTGAGGAAGGCTGTCCTGGAGGTCATGGGCTGTGTGGACTGTGGGTAAAAGGGCAGAGCAGGGCAGGGTGGGCACATTCCTTCCTCAGCTGGTAATGAAGATGGAGTCCTTCCTGTGGTGGGAGCTAGGTGAGGCGCACCTTCATCTCAGAAACCTTGTAGCTATAGTTGTACCCTCCCCATGACCTCCAGTTCACACCATCTGCGTAGCTCTTATGGGGCCCCCTGAGGTAGAGGCCATTCAGGTTGGAACGGTGACAATCACTGTACCACCAGGCTCCATGGTAACGCAGCGCACAGTTGGAAGAACTCGGGTCATTGTCTTGGTCTTTGGTAGAGAAAAATTGGTTGTTTTGGGAAGTCAGGGAGTCACCTGTTCAGAAAGAACATGTGTCATGTAGATGCTAGACACAAACACTAGACGGCCCCATCTCCTGCCTGTGACTCGCCTATTCTCATCTGGATAATTCATCAGTTGAGGTCCAGGTGAGGGACCCATCTTCACAAGCCTTGGGAAAGAGTATAACGCCAGATATGACCCCCTCCTCCTGGTTCAGCAAGTCCCTGTGGCCATTGTTATCTCTCCCCAGCCACACTCTCTGCTCCCTCAGGGAGCCTCCTAACAGCATCACCAGTACCAGTTCCCTCCTCACGGCAGCCTGCAGCTCTCTCTAGGACTTCTCTTACCTTCCCTCTTGCCCTGGCTGTTTCTGAGTCAGCTCCAAATGGTCATGCCTCCAGAGTTTACCCTATTGCACCTCCACGCTGGGCACACAGCTTCTGACGCCCTCGGTTTCCCCACATACAGACTTTGTTTTCTTTCCTAAAAGTCCCAGGTGAGATGGTGCAAAGTGGGTGCATAAATTTCAGAGCTGTCACCTCCAAAGCTCCTGAGAGAGCGGCCTGCCCCACTTAGCTGTGGGTTCAGCGGTTAAATAGGTGTGGTCATGACCCACAGCTCCCTGTACCCAGACACATACGTTGTAGGATGGACTTTCCAAACCACAGGGCCAGAGTCCTTCGGGAAAGAGGGCTGCTGTGGTTTAGAGATGAACTCTCCCCACAAAGCTTTGTATATTGAAGGCTCAATCCCAATTCGAGCAGTGTTTGGGGGTTTGGGTGATTGGATGAAGAGAGCTGAGGCCTCCTTTGTGGGTTAGTCACTGATAGAGTCCTAGTAGTCCATAGGGAGCTGGTGACCGGCAGGGCCTAGTTAGAGGAAGTGGGTCACTAGAGACATGCCTTTGAGGGGTGTTCCCTTTCAGTCTCTTTCTTTGCTTCCCATCGGCCCTAAAATGAAAGGCTTCGTCCTATCACAAGCTTCCACCATGATGTTCCACCTCACCTTTGGTCCACAGTAAAGGGTCTGGCTAATGCAGTGTCCCTAAGGTGCTTTCTATAAGAGATAGGGCGTTAGCACCCATGGAGAGATGCCCATCTCCTTCTGACTCTATCGTATATGGTAGTCAGTGGTCCCCACTCACTGTGCAGTGGAGCTGGGTGTGGGCCCTTAGTTCTGGCCTATTGGGCAGTCTTGGGGGTGCTAACAGACTGCATCTATGGTCCTCACCTAGTATAAGGATGTGGATATTGGTGTTTTGCCGATGGCAACCCTAGGCTCAGAGCCATAGACCCAGCTCAAGGCCACCGGGGGAGTAGAAGGCAGGCCCCTCTACTCCCAGACTGGTTCCGAAGCGGCCATCTCACAGCCCCTCCTCAAGCTGCTCACCAGCACCGCCTCCAACAAAATTTCCCAGGACGAGCTTGTATTTCTCAGCCTCTCCTTCGATCTTGAAGGAGCTGTACTTGGCAAAGTCATGCTTGCCTTCGAAGTCTGTAAGATCCACTCGCAGCTCGCTGGTTCCTGCAGAGAGTTGGGGACGGGGGGG